TGTAGGTGTGCCAATTTAAAATGAAGAAAACAAACAAAATCTAACAAAAAGCCTAACTGTCTAGTGCTATTATATGCATATATAAAACTTTCAAGTGTAATTTAATAAAATAATATTGTATAATATAATAAACACAAAAATAATAAAATAAATCAAAATAAACTAAAGAGTAATATTGCAATTAATCATGATGCCTGATCTGTATGTAAACTCTATGATGACGATGCAAGCCATAGGCTTATGTGGAATCAGATAGAAATAAACAATTTATTGATATCTTAACTCACTTTTTATATGTCACCCTGCCACTATAGTGTAATATTTGTGAAATATCATCATTTGGGCGCTTTATCAACATCTATAATTTAATCGTCATATCAATTACTATAATCAATTGACAGCCATAGAAAATATATCAAATATAAATCTCCTAAAAAATTATAAATTCCTGTTGAAGCCAAAAACATTGTGTAGGTTTTTGCTCTTTGTTTTGCAATTTCCCCACTCTGCTGGGAGGAATAGTGTTCAAGGACGACTGGAGACAAGAGACTCATCAAAAATGTTTCCTTTTCTCTTTCATCAATTGTCTCTTTGTCGCATTTGTAAGTCAAGCACCACTTGTGCACGGCAATGATTATCAATTATGGCCATTAGAGAGTTGCATAAGGTTTATAGTGAAGGGGCTAATCTAAACCAATGTAATCAAAATATCAAATGTTTGTCCGTGGATGTATATCGGGAATGCATTTGTAGGGCTGTAACCCTACCACTGACAAGGATGAGGTATTCATGTAATAATCTGTAATAACTAAAGATGAGGATTCGGACTGAAATGACAAAATAGTTTCATCCAGAAGCTGTTTTCAGTAAACATGAATAAAAATTCATTATCAAAGATTATAAGGGGACTGATGTGATCACAGAATTATTAGAGTTAACAGCAGCTTTCTAGAGGGCTCAGACGAAACACAAGGTGGGCTGAGATACAGTGGCCTAGAAAAGAACATTTAATCCACAAACATTTGTATGAATGTAATAAAATTAGACAAAATATTAAACCAAGTAAAATGGGATTGAGCTTTTGTTTTCAGAAATACTTTGTCCATTTATCTTCATTAACACTGCTTTGTGTCAGTTTGAATTTAATTACTATGTCTTTATGCAAAATGTCTTTTTTTTGCACAAATGATAAATTGTAATAAATTATAATTATAAA